TGGATGAGGCTTTGAGCAACCTGGTCTAGTGCAAGGTGTCCCTGCCCATGGCAGGGAGGTTGGAACTAGATGGTCTTTAAGCTCCCTTCCAACCCTAACCATTCTATGATAAAACAATTTCTGTCAGTCTCAAAATAGCTTAAGTGCAACAAGAAAGTTTAAAATAAAACCAGTTATTGTTACTGGGTGGAGGGTTTTTTGGTTGTTTTGGCTTAATATTTTTTTTTTTTTTAATGAGCTAAAACATGGATTATCTGCTGCAAAAAAACACATCCCTTGTTCCTCCCACTTAGCTTCGAGCATCCAGCTGCACTGGCTCACGAGTGCCTTTGCCTTAGACCTTCTCCCCATGCACTGTGAAGACGCAAGTACCTCCACAGAGCTGCAGAGGGAGCTTGTGTGTGCGACAAAGGCAACTACTGAAAATAAACGTACACCTGGGTGTAGTATCTTTCCCTCGCTGCCAAAAGAAAGCTTTCCCCCCGCCCTGTAAAGACGGGAAAAGTCACCCCTTCTCTGCATATGCAGCATTGGAGAAAGTAACATTTCAGATACACTCTCCCCACCCCAGTGAAAAGGCTTACTTGCCGTGAAGAAGGGGCCTGGCATGCTTTCCGTTTACAGGAGTTTAAGACTGCTGTTGGTTTAACTTTTCCCTCGCTGCCAAAAGAAAGCTTTCCCCCCGCCCTGTAAAGACGGGAAAAGTCACCCCTTCTCTGCATATGCAGCATTGGAGAAAGTAACATTTCAGATACACTCTCCCCACCCCAGTGAAAAGGCTTACTTGCCGTGAAGAAGGGGCCTGGCATGCTTTCCGTTTACAGGAGTTTAAGACTGCTGTTGGTTTAACTGAACTACAATCACAGCTTTTATTCTGAAAGCTAATTGATCTGGAAATATTTTAATGTGTGTGAGCTACGAAGGGAGATGTTTTACATACAGTGGTGGGAAAACTGGATCATAAGTTCAGAGAGATAAAGGCAACTGTAGGGAAGTTTTTGTTCGTGGATGAAACTGCAGATATCTGCCCAAAATAACATTCTTCTCAGTGATACACACGAACACCATCAGTGCCTTACCCGATTGTTTTCAGCTGCCCACAGCAGCAACTTCTCCGGGTTTTTTTCCATCTTTTTTTCTTGCATTTCGTACCATTCCTCACTTCTTTCTTGTTCATCATCATCATCATCATCAGACTGCCCTGACCAACAGCTCTGAGTTCCTACGGGAATCAAATGCCTGTGCGTCTCCAGCAGCTCCAGTTGGTTAAAGTTCTCCGTAAAGTCTTCAAACTGCTCACTGTCATCATCTTCTTCTTCGGTGTGTTTGTCCTTACTCATTTTCAGTTAGCATCTGTAAGGGGCCATACATACACCGCTATGAGTAACTTTTGAGTAACTTCAGCTGTTACTCGTGCAGCGATTGTCAATAAAACGACCTGATGGAGGACGCGGGTCATCAGCAACACCCCGAACAGCAAAACCCAAGAGCCAAGTCCACGCTCCTCCGCCAAACCGGGCGTTGCCGTTCTCCCCGGTCGCTATCCACGCGCGAAAAGCCCCGTGCTGCCCCACCGAGAACCGGCAGCGCCTCCGCCCCCGCGGAGGCTGCGCGGCGGCTTCGTAGAGCGCACTCGAAAC